TGAAACTAATTTGTGCTGGAACAGGGAGGGTTTCATTGAATTGCTTTTCTGTGTTGTATGAATCCATCCTTTTAACCCTAATGCTTTGCAACCATGGTTTTGAAATTGCTCAAATTATTTTCTTTCTTTTTATAGTAATTTTATTAAAAGTTACCGTTAAAAAGATAAAACCTAATGCAAACTAAAAGAATAAAAAAAGGAAGTCCTTAAAAAAGTACTTAAAGAAAACAGAAAGAAAATTAGAAAATAAAAAATAAGAATATAGTAAAGAAAACAATATTTAAAAAATAGCAATAGCATTTAGACTTATATACCACTTCACAGTGCTTTACAGACCCCTCTAAGCCGTTTACAGAGTCAGCATATTGCCCCCAGCAATCTGGGTCCTCATTTTACCGAACTTAAAGGATGGAAGGCTGAGTCAACCTTGAGCCTGCTGAGATTCACACTAAAAACAATAGGCAATGATATAGAAGCATAAACAACAATAAGCAGAAAATTAATTAAAAATATCCAATTGAGCATTAGTGTTGAATACATATTACGTTAAAGGATCAGGAAGAATAAAATAATATTTGCTTAACAGAAAAAATTCTAAAATAGGAGATTACTACACCTCACACCCTTTAGGAAAATACCACACCTCCTTTTGGAACAGATCTGGCAAGGGAGAAATAGGGAATTATAGGGAAAAAGGGGTGGGGAAGCCATTTTCAGCTTCCTATTTATCATTAAAAGTTGTTGTATGGAAGAGCAGAAGAAAAAAACTGAAAAAAATAATCTTGTTTTAAAACCAAAACTGTTTCACTGTTCCGAGTACCTTTGCTGACAAACAAAATTCACTTTATTTAATTAAATTTACTCCTGTATCTTGTTTGCTTGGAATCTGAGCCTGTATCTTTCCATAAAATACGTTAACTGGTGCCCTCCTGTGGAGATTAGTGATGTTACATATGGCAGATCATAAAGTATCTAATATGGTAGGTTTTTGCTACAGTGTATTTCCTTCATATTTCTCTATTAAGATTATTATTAATTGTCGCAGATAATGGACAGGAAGTCCTCTTTCACGCAACACTGGAATGGATCCAGTGAGAAATAGCTAGTTTAATTGGTACATTCATTCAGATTTCCTAATGGTAGATATTCACAGGACACTCATGGGAAATATCTAATTGGTTTTACTTTCAACTTGGCATTGTAGTCATTTTAATGGTCTGCTCCACAGTCAGACCTTTTTGGACTTTGCTTTAAGGCTTAGTCTTTCCATTAAACTATCTACAGTTTATCCACAGGACTCTTTTCAAGAGAATAAAACAGGATTAAAAATTCCACCAATATATGAAACTGTTGTTCTAAGGATTCCTATCACCAGTAGGATTTGTATTCAGACCCAGTTTCTCTGGGGACAGTAATTTAAAGCAGGGATTTCTGGGAGTTGAAGTCCATAAGTCTTAAAGTTGCCATCCCTGATTTAAAGCAGTCTTTAAATTAAGAGCAGAAATTATTCTGATTTGTTTAATGCGAATGCATTTGGTGCCTCCTTTCAAAGCTCTTTTTGAAGTTTCCTCAAGGAGGAAAAAAAATACTTCTGCTTATTGTGGCCTCACTCACTTCAATGTTAAAATGTTATAAATTTGATGGAAGCATATTGATATACAGTAGATAGATGTACTACTGATGGAACTGTTCTCCATCTGACTAGGAAAAAAAGTGCACTGAGACAGGGGGCATTGATTTCATCCTGGTAAGGAACTGGGCCATGGGGTTTAGCGGAGATCCCAGGATTTCTCTGAACAAAAAAAGCTGCCTCATACTTGCTAGAACCAACAAAAGACTCAAGGAAGGCTTCAGATATGGCACTCTTGATGCACCCGATTCCTGATATCAGTTGTCAACTCTGAAGCGAACCTGGCTGAAGCCATCTTGTCCTCCCTCATAGTTGCCACAAACTCTGAGATGGGGAAAGGAGGGGGAATAGAAAGGCTGGCTAAATAGTCAAAACAAAAAAGTTTCCTTGTGGGAACCAAGGTCATCCCAACAGGTGGCAGTTGAAGGGGGAGAGGAGTGACCAAGCAACCTGCCAGCTACTTTCATTGAACAATGTGACCAGTGATATCTGGGGAAGGGAAATATTTGCTCTTTTAATTAGGGGAAAACATGGAAACTTTCAGAGTTGGTTTTCACTAGCCATGCCAATTTGATGTATCCAATAAACATATTCTTTGAGGAATCTACCCACCTCAGAGTTCTGCTTTTAGCGGATACATTACTTGGAACGCTGATATCAGGACTTTCAGCCGTGCTTCCTCAGCTGACAGACTGCTCATCTGGGAG